TAGTAGGAACAGATAAGAGAAGATACAAAGATAGGATTATAGTGAGAATTCCGAATACAGACAGAGTGTGCATCACGATGGCATAAGTTTCCATTGAGAAATCTCATTTACTGGTTCACGACAGGAATATTGATAAGGAAGATTGTGAGAAGAATCGAGTTTTCACTCCAGCATTGTTGGTGTAACAAGTAAGATCAGAGTTGTAATGTGCTTACAACCTCCAGACCATTCAGACTCCTAGAACTTCTACAGCTGGGAATGCTGGATAGAATTGGTGAGGTAAGAATGCTTTTGAACGAAACGTGAAATTATCTTCATTATGGGTACGCCTTCTCAGTATAGAGATCAATGGGTGATAATCAGCAGGACATACTTCGTCGGGTTGTTTTTCATCTGCAATGTAGCGCCTCGTGTGTCTCTCGAAGGCTTTCTGAAGCTTAGACACTGTAATACAAGTGTTGAAGTTCATTCTTGTTTTCAGATATCGTACTATTCATGGTGGGTTCCGGAATTTTGATTACACTTGTGACCATACAGAATATCGAGAGCTACCAGACATGCTCAATTTCAACCAACACAAGTGAGTACAGAGGTAACATCCATAGCTGACGCAAGTTTGCGTACCAAAAATATTTTTGTTCTTTGTCTTCAGTCAGGTATAATTATATTCTATTTTCTGTTGCTTAACTATTATTATTCTTGAGAGAGACGTCAGTTGCAGACTTATTGATCGATGACTTCAGTAGGTTTCACACTTGGCTGAGCTTGTTTTCTCGAAATCATTCATCGTTGTTGTAGGTATCATCACTCTAATGGCTGTAACATGTTTCTCAATCAACGTGGGAAACCTTATATGTTGCGTCATAGTTCGTTTTCTACTTCGAAGAATTCAGAAGAGGGAGCGTTTCTCCAGATGCTAGTAGATGTGAGTTTCTGACGATGAGCGTAACATTTCTCTCATATAGGTGAAGTGTTGGTTCTGAACCTGTTGTTGGAACATCGTAACAGTTGACAAGCTTCAGTTTCTTCCATGTTGAACGTTCGATGCAACCGCAAGATCTGTTGGCAAGCTGATTTGAAGGTATATAGCTTCTTCAAATCAGTCTGCTGAAGGATCAAT